CGGCCAAGTATAAGCTGTCTTCAGGAAACACATCTAACCTGCAAGGATGCATATAGATAAAAGTAAAAGGTGGAGATCAGTATTCCAAGCAAGGGAACAAAGAAGAGTGCGGCAGTTCAATTTCAGATGTAGTTTTTAACCAACAAAAGTAGTGAAAGACAAAGAAGGTCATTATATAATGGTGAAGGGCACAGTTCAACAAGAAGAGATAACAATTTAAATATATATGCACAACTTAGTGCACCAGATTCATAAAGCAAACCTTACTGGATCTAGGCAAATTGATTAACAGCAATCCATAATCACCGAGGATTTCAACACCCACTGATGGCACAAGACAGATCCTCCAAACAGAAAATAATAAAGAAATAATGGACTTAAACAAAACTCTAGAACAATTGGGTCTGATTGACATTTACAGGACATTCTACCCAAAATCCACTGAATATACATCTTCTCATCACTCATGGGACAGTCCTAAGATTGACCATATCCTCAGGACACAAAGTAAACCTCAAGAAATTTAAAAATAGAAATCATACCATGTATTCTCAGATCACAATGAATAAAGTAGAAATCAACCCTAACAGAAACTCACATTTCTACCACAAACGTGGAATTAAAACACCTCCTCTCAAATGATTACTTCATAAATGAAGAAATCAAGATGGAAATAAAAGAAATTCTATGACAAATGACAATGGAGAAAGTATCCAATCCCTGGACACAGCTAAAGCAGATCTAAGAGGAAAGTTTATCTCCAAAAGCCTATAACCAAAAGTCAAAAAGATCACAAATAGATAACTAATGACGCCTCAAAGAGCTGGAAAAAGTGAGAACAAACCAGCGCCCAAACCCAGCAGAAGAAGTGAAATCAACAGATCAAATCATAAAAAGAATTGAAAACAGGGAAGCTATTCAATGAGAAATTAATAAAAAAAATTGGTTCTTTGAAAAAAAATAAAGTAAATGACCCACCGCCATTGGCTAAGCTAAACGACACAGCAGAAAAGGAAATCTCATAAGCTCCATCAGAACAAAAAAGGAAGATATCACAACTGATCCCAAAGAGATACAATATATAATTATGAATATACAAACTTTGATGCACACAAGACTGAAAATGTGAAGAAATGAGATAAAATTTCTAGAAAACATAGCCTCCTAGGCTCAACAGGAAGGAAATAGATTCTGAGAAGACCAACTTCAAGAGCTAAATAGAAACAGCAATTAAAAATCTCCCTAAAAAGAAAAGTCCCGCTCCAGATGGTTTCACACCCGAATTTTACCACACTTACAAAGAAGAACTAGTATCCATCTTGCAGAAACTATTCCACAACATCGAGAAGAACGGAAACCTCTCTGACACCTTTTATGAAGCGAATATTACTGATACCAAAACCAAGAAAGAACGCAACAAAAAAGAAAACTACAGACCAATATCCCTAATGAATATAGATGCAAAAATTTTCAACAAAATCTTAGCTAACCGAATCCAATACTTATCAACAAAAATAATCCATCCACCCGCAGTCGGCTTTCATCAGGCGATGCAGGGATGGGTCAACATACATTGTAAATCTAAAATCCAATTCACCACCTAAACAGAAGCAAAAACCAAAGACACCATGATTCTTTCAATAGATGCAAAAAAAAAAGAAAAAGCTTTTTGACAAATTCAACACCCTTCCGATCATGATACGACACTTAGACAATAGGCCATAGAAGGGACATACCTAAAAATGATACAAGTCACTATAATGACAGACCATGAGCCAACATCATACTGCATGGGGAAAAATTGAAAGCATTCCACTTAGAACTGAACCAGACAAAGGCTGCCATTATCTCCACTCAACATAGTACTGGAGTCCTGTACCAGCAATCAGACAGGAAGTTGGAATTAAAGGTATCCAAATAGGGGCAGACAGGAGATCAACTTTCACTGTTCCTGCCCTGACGATCCTGCATATACTCCACTCTACGAAACCCAAACGATTCAACCAAGAAACTCCTGGATTGATCAATGAATTGTCAGTAAAGTCTCCAGGATACACAAATCAACCACAGAAATCAGAGCATTCATATGCGCCAACAACAATCTAAATGAACCAACCACTCCAAGCACTCATTCTTTCCCACATAGCCAACACGAAATTCAAAGCCTACCTAGGACTACCCATCACTTACACCAAGGAGTAAATAGACTCTATACGAGGAGAACTATGAAACACTGACGAAGAATAGCAGAGGCTCTACAAACGATGGAAATCCATACATGCTTTGCTGTATCGGCAGATCCAACATCTCATTCAAAGCTCTACTACCACTCTACCACTCCATCATATTCAATCCCATCAGCATTCTTCACAGAGAACCACGAAAAAATAATTTTTACGGCTTCGCTATGGAACCAAAGAAGACCACCCCCACCTATCCAAAAGCAATTCTCGGCAACAAAAAAAATGGGAGGTTTAATATGCGATATCAAATATACTACAACCGCAGACCTTCAATCCAACTCTGGACGCACACACAAACCTAGGAACTATGGACAGCTGCCACCATTCCCCAGCAATCCTGAATATAAAACATCCTCTCAATATACCTTACTCTTGACAAGCGCACAACACGCGGGCGAACAGACTCTCTTCAATCTCACATCGCGTCGCTGCGAAACCATGCGATAGCTTCAGACGCTCAACCGCCAGGACCCACACCTCTTACAACCACCTCCAATCATCCATAACAGCACCTCAACCCTCAAGCTACATTCCCACCCGACCCCCCTCGCCACCCTCTTCACACACTCCCTCGCAACATCTCACTGAAGACCCCAACACGCATCACCCGAACAAACTCACTGCCAGTACAAAACCCCCCAACGTTCTGCACAGCTACAAGAAACAGTCTGAAATAAACAAAAACTACAGAATCGGGAGAAAATTTTACATCACCTACATATCTGATAAGGGGCTGATAACTAGAATATATAGACCTCATGAAACCAGCAAAAAAAAAAATCAAAACCCTATTTCAAAGTGGGCAAAGGACTTGAACAGAAACTTTTCTAAAGAAGACAGCAAGAATGGCCAACAAACATATGAAAAATCTAACATCTCTAATCATCATGGAAAGTCAAATCAAAACCACAATCGAGATATCACTTAACCAGTGAGAATGGCCTGTATCAAAAAAATTCTCCAAACAGTAAATGCTGGCACGTGGATGCCAGAGAAGAGAAACCACTCCTAACACTGCTGGTGGGCACTGCAAACTAGTTAACCTCTGTGAAAGCAATATGGAGACATCTTAAAGCGACTCAACGTGAATCTATCTTTTGATCCAGCAATCTCCCATCACCTGCGGCATCTACACTCACGATCCAATGACATTAAAAAACACCTGCACTCCGAATGTTACTAGCAGCATAATTCCATAATTGCACAGCTTGGACAACAGCCACCAGTGCCACTCAATCCCAAGAATGGATTAATAAAATCGGTCACTACTCTATACCCATGGAGTATATTCAGGCTTTAAGAAACAACGGTGATGATAGCCACATCTATATTCTTCTGATTAGAGCTGGAATCCATACTACTAAGTGAGTATCCAAGAATGGAAAACAGAACCACATATACTCACAGCAAATTGGTATTAACTGAGTCAGGACCTAAGTGGACACATAGTTACTACAGTAAATAGGTATGGGAAGTGGAGGGGGGTGGTTGGGTATATACATACATAATGAGTGAGATGTGCACCATCTGGGGGATGGTCATACTGGAAACTCAGACTTGTGGGGGGTGGGGGGAAAGGGCATTTATTGAAACCTTAAAATCTGTACCTACATAATATGCCAAAATAAAAAAAAAGAATTATAGTGCTAATCTGAATAAATCAAGAAATATATCCTTTATATACATAAACTACTTATTTCAGTTTAATGCATTATGACATGTTTATTTAGTACATTCTTTAGAAGAGAAAATTACTAAATGCATACCTTTTCCCAATCAGACCATTCATGTGTATATTCTGCTATGCATATAAATTTAAATAAAGCTTACTATTATTAAATACATTAAAACATATTTCTTATCATCTTTTAATATAAAGCTGTTCAAATATTCATACCCATTAACTGGATCCACCACAATCCCTCTGGGATGAGACATTTCTCCCTCCAAAAGAGTCTTCCGACTCTGAGAAGCCTTTTCCAGTCTGGCCACGTTAATGGTTTTCCTATGGCCATCATTTGTCCAGTAAAGGTTATTTCCGATCCAGTCCACAGCAATGCCCTCCACATTATCCAGATCTATTAATAAAAGCAAAAGAAATAAACTAATAAAAAGTTTATTTAATTCAAAAAGAAATGGACTCTGACCATAAATTTTTTATGGTGTGATTTTTGCAAATATCATTATTCCATAGAATACTTTTCAATTTTATTTTGAATGCCTTTTTACGTGAGTAATGCATCCTCTCTCTTCACATGGATCTCTCCATGTACACAGTGCTGACAAATTATTCAATGGTGGTTAAATATTTTAACTGAACCTCAATTTATTGTAATTCAGACAGTGATCTACAGAAAAAAAACAGGAAAATATAAGTAATGTGAGTGAAAAAGGGTGAAAATAAGTGAAAAATGCAGTAATAAAGACTGTTCAGGAAAAAATCTACTAGTACTATGACAGCATGTTCAAAACTTATAATATGTAATCTGAGTAATCAAAATACTATGAATGTCCTCTTGCACAGAGATGAACAGATTTAGCAGAAGCACACATTGGAAAGCCTAGAACAGGCTTTCATCTTAGAATTGCATCAAGAGTGAATCTCAAATAATCACTACTTATGTATATTTTAGACTTATTTTAAAAAAGGACCCTACTGCAGATTTCTATAAGATACAGGAAATGATAAATCAAATAATTCTATAAACATATAATCTTATGAGTTCAGCTAATTCAGATCCTTTATTTTACAACAAGGGAAACTAACACTCCAAAGTGAAGGCAGTTGCTTATAGTCTATCATCATTGAAGAAGCAGTAAAAATGGGATAAAAATCTAAGCCCTATCACCCCCATCATGGAGACCTTCAAAACAGCACAGTTCCTATGGTGAGTTTCTGCAGTAAACTGTCCTCACTTTTTGTTACTTTGTAAACCATGCTCCAAATGTCCCACAACATCATAAAGAAAGTTACATTCTTTTGTTGCATGAGAAATTACTGTGAAGTCTTTTTTCAAAAACAGGGGAGTCTGTTATATAGACTTCTTTCCCTTGTGGGTATGAGGTACAGAACTGGAACTTACTAGACAAAGCAATAGGTACATTAGAGACAGAGCTGTGTATTCACACACTACTTAGAAACCACATGTCCTCGCATGCAGACATAATGGATATTTACCATTATCATATTCTTTAATCTGGCTATGGAAAAAATAAAATAAAATTTTCTTTTGTAACACTTTCTGATAATCAACATGTGCCCTGATTCTGGATGACTGATACAAAGTGTTATTTGATCTAACTGAAAATCTCATTATAGTGAATCAGATATGTTCTCAATTTCAGTAAGCTACCTGCTTCATTACCATCCAATATGAGTAATTTTCACAGGTTAATTGTGCCTATGTTTATGCAAAATATTTGATTTTATCTTTACTTACTGACACAATTTTACTGAGCACTTTCCTATTCTGGCATAATGGAGGAAGAGTAGTTTTTTACTCTTTTTTCTTTATTATGGTCTACAGCTGATTTTTATCTTGTTAGTTGGTTTTCAAAAATTAGATTACATTTGAAATCTACTCCAGCATGGAAAGTATTCATGCTGGATAATCCTTTTATTTTCAAAACTTTTTCTTTTGACATCTGACTTGAGACTATTATATATATATATATATATATATATATATATACACACACACACACATATATATATATATATATATCATCTTAAATACAGCATGGATGAAAATTTTGTTTCTGACACTTGGGTAAGCAACTTGGTCACTCTGATCCTTGATTTTTCCATCTGCAAAGTGAAGATGATAATAGCACCTCTCCATAGGGTGATGACAACGGGTAAATTAGCTACTGCATATAAACACTTAGCGTACTGCCTGGAATATACTAACATCTCACTATATGCTAATTTTTAAATAATTTATCAGGATTAAATATTTTATATCTATTCTGGCTCTTTTCCTTATGGGTGCTACTTAATAGAAATATATCTTATGTTTTTCTCCTGCAAAATACATTTTCAGTAATATATACTTGCATTTTTACCAGTAGCCAACTTTAACTAGAAATACAGATACAGTATCACTTATGAAGAAATAGTAAGAATGAAATGGAATTGACTTCTAAGCAGCAGAATTTGGAAGTATCCTGTCTCCAACTAGTTTGCTTGTTTTTGAAAAACTGAATTGCTTGAATGCTATAAATAGTGTTTGGGATCACAAAGTCTAGAACCACACTGCCAGGCTCTGACACCCACTACCTAACTGTGCAAGTTACTTCACCTTTCTCTTCTTCAGTTGCTTGGTCTTTAAAATGCTTATAATGATAGTGCTTAACTCACAGGATTGCTTTGAGGATTAAGTGAATAAATATATGCAAAGTTCTTAGAACAGTAACAGTATCATTATTATTACTGTATAATCTTCCCTTTAGCTAGTTATCTAGTCTATTAACATACTAATAAAACAATTAGCCTACAGTGATTTTTTTAATGTTGTTTTTTGTTTACATCTTGTTTGTTTTTTTCTGTTACAGAAAGAACAAGACTGAATACAAATTTTGAAATAAGGAAACTCATAAAAGAATCTATGTACAAATTGGGAATCTTTTTTTGGTTTTGATTAACTAACAACTTGGATGGAACTCTAAGACATATAGAACATCAGTCTTACGAATATTTGATATTTTATTAAAAGGGCTGTGATTGGGCCCTGCCTGAAATTGAACTTAGGTAAGGAATCTGAAACCTCAAGGCCACACGTGGCCCTCTAGATCCCCAAATGTGGCCCCTGGACCAAATCCAAGCTTCACAGAACAAATCCCTTTACTAAAAAGGTCTGTTTTGTAAAATTTGAGTTCAATCAAAAGGTTCCACGCAAGGATACAGAAGGCCACAGGTTTCCCACTCAAATGAAAATCTCAGGCAGGACCCAGTAGACTCTAAACATGTTTGTATATCTTCAATAAAAAGAAGAATTCTAGTAGATAATGGTTTCTTATAAAATGTTTTAGATTAAGGTTATGCTTATATTTTCCATGCTAAGTAAGGTAATGGGACATTTTTCTATTAACATATACTTCAGATAATAAACAGACTTTTTCATGTATTCTATGAATAGTTAAGATTAATATATTATTTTTGCTCAAATTATTAAAATTTCCACATTTTCCTTTGTAAACATTCTACTAATTTTGAAATAACTTGTATAAATGCAATACTATATGAACAGTGCATAAACATACACATGTTATCTAAAGTTAGGCTTGATACTTAATTATATAGTTCACTTAAGTGAAAAATTCTTGTAGCTGACAATACTATTTCCTACAAGGGATAGCTATCTTTAAGGAAATGAGGATGAATAGTAGGTAATAAAATTTATTTAAGTTAAAAAGAATAATGATGTGATTTAAAAGGAATAAATAAAACAGTAAAGTTCTTTAAATGAATTTAAGATTAGACCAATAAGCATTTTAAAGAGAGTGGTTTGGGGGAAAAAAACAAACATATTTTTAAAACTAAAACTTAATTACAGGTCAGGTTTTTAGATGTTGCAGACTCATGGAACAGAAGAGGCTTATAGTTTCTTGTAGTTGAAATATAATCTCCTACTTTTAAATTGGGTCTTTGATTAAAAATAAAGGGCTAAATGTGAGCAGTTGCCTTAGTTTTAAGTTTATAAGTTGGACCTCCAGAGAGTAATCTATAAGTTTTGATGCTTTACAAGAGAATTTGATTAATATAATAAGAAATTAATTGAAAATTATACCCCAAAATTGACATAATAAAAACAATATCTACATTTTTTCACTTTATCCAAATTTATCCATGGTTATCTATCCTTAGCATGGACATCATTTTTCTGAATTGGTACAAAAGTGTGTACGTGAGTACACAATATGATATACCTTAAATAACTGGATGTGCAGCATGAATGTAGACATGCCTAAGGCCAAAGATACCTTACCTTGCCTCAGAGTCAGCACTTGGGCAATTCTCTTGACTCCTATTCTTGTAGTTCAATTAGTACAAATTTTCTTTGTGTTTTTCAATATGGCCTAAGGCAAAACAGCTCATATGTATCTGACATGAGTGAACGACACTGATTTAATTAATATTGTGACAGCAAGCTTTGCTTACTGAATTTGCTATCTCATGAGGTTTCAAGGGTCTGTGGTCATAGAGTCAAGTTTTCTATACCATCTGTCCCTAATGGCCAGCTTAGACTAATGTTTCTCATCCTCATTTTCATTCCAGGTCTCTTCTCAGTTATTAGGTTAGAGAGAGTAAATAGCCAAGGCATAGAAGCCATTTGGTAAGAAGCAAATACCTTACTGCTGTATTCAAAGAAATATGTAGAGTAGGATCTTATTTTCCAGATGAAACAGAATATGTCAGCTGTTTCCTTGCTTTATAAAAAGCGTATTGTCAGTTTCAATGGGTGGGGAGATACAGATAATCTCTCCACAACATTCAGATATTTCATCTTTGGTACAGTGAACCCATGTAAGAATAAAGATAGTGCTATAGTATGCATCACTGTTACCAATAAAGTAATTGAAAGTGATAATTAAAATGAAAGATGTCAAGAACGGTTAAGAACTGACATTTTACCATACTTTCAAGCTTGTAAATTTGCCTGATTTTGTTTCATGGGTGCTAGTATAAGACACAAGACTTGTGGGTCAGATATAAAAGACATTTTTACTCTGGCACAACAAGCAGCATGATCACCAGCAGATTGGTGTCAGTTCACTATACTCCAAAGTCCCCCTGGGGCAACTGGGAGAGGCCCATATGGATGCTTTCATACCCGGTGGGCAGCTTTACAAAAGGAGAATCTTTAGTTTAGGAATCCTAAATCTGTTATAATGGGTAGTAAGCAGGCCTATTGGTTTCCCTAGAGGGAGACTATATCTCTATCTTCCAAGACTCTTCTATACAAAAATCCTTAAAGGATAATTCATAATAAATTCATTTCAAGAAATGCAGAAATGTAAGAGATCCATGGAAATTATCTTCCAAGAAAAGGTCCTGAAAAAACATAAATTGGTAGTCACTAATAAATGCGTATAGATAGAGCAAACAAACTGGTGTGCAAATATGATCACAAAATTTCTGGATTCCAAGTTATTGCTCTTATGGGAATTCTGTACTGATTTATACAACCACACCTTAAAGCTTATTGTTTAGCTTGCTGTGTGTGATGGTTAATTTTATGTGTCATTTTGGTTAGTCCCTATATACAGATGTTTGTTCAAACATCAGTTTGGGTGTTGTTGTAGAGGTATTTTTGAGATGATATGAACAGTTAAATCAGTAGACTCGGAGCAATGAGGTTATCCCCCATAATGTGGATTTGCCTCATACAATTAGTTGAAAGCCTTAATAGAAAATAAACTGAAATGCCCAAGAAAGATAGATTTCTGCCTCTAGTCTGTCTTTGGACTTGAGTTGCAATATCAACTCTTTCCTGAGTCTCCAGTCTATGGACCTACCCCACAAATTTTGGACTTGCCAGACTCCATAATCATATGAGACAATTCCTTAAAACAAATCTTTCTTTTTCTATATATATCCTAATCATTCTGTTTTGTCTGGAAAACCCTGATTAATATACCATCATCATACCTGAGACCTGGAAATAATTTTGCTGAATTGTCTAGGCAAAGGAAGGACATTCTTCATATGTATTCTTTTCAGATAGAACTGCAAAGTATATATTACAGAGGACAAACTAGGTTCCAATTTAAGAAATCCCTAGAGATATGAAAGGAATATACAGCTCATTTTACAATATTCTGCTAAAAATGTTTGGATAATAGCAAAGTCCTTATTGTGAATTGGGAAAAAGTCATTTCTATTAACACCCTTTTACTATCCAATTCTGCCTACTTAATAAGAGAAAACAGAGCTAAAATCCCTTCTATTTTTTGAACACAAAATATCAGAGCTATTCTTGAATACTCCTTTTATTCCTGTGAAGTAGGTTATAATTTATAGAATAAAACACTTTAGAACCTATTTCATCAATAGTAAATTACTCAATCTTTTTCATATTAGATGAAGAGGCAACTCTATTAGTAGTCACTTGAGCAATTTAATTTCATAGAAAGTGACTTTTTATTTGCTATATTTTCTAATATGTTCCATGTTTTTGCATTTGGTCATTTAAACATTCAAAAACTTACACCACTTCAACTGATAATTTTCACTGAATTTTTTAAAATGACAATGTAACACATATAATGCTTAGACATTTTTAATGAAAGATACTGATCATTAAATTTCAAGTTAAGCTGAAAAGCAAGAGGCTGTAAATCTTCATTATTTTTATAACAGCCACAGCAAAGAATAAATGTATCATCTTATGTCACTACCCTCATGGAGCTTACCACTAACCTCAATCAAACAAACCTATACTTTTTCAGAACCACATAAATACACAAAAAGAGAAAGGATAGACAAAATGCATGTGTGGATTATAGGTAAATGTGGTAAAGAAGGTCAAGTTCTTAATAATTTATTTCACAACACCTTTCCATAAATATCTCAGAAAACACACATAGTCACAACACTCCTTGGTACACAGGC